AGAGCACTGTCTCTTTAAATATCCAAAATGGTCAAGCCGCTTGTAACATTCAAAATGGTGGTGCCCTCCGGACCAGTAAAAGTCCACAGCTCAGCCCACCTTTCTCTTCACCTTCTCTGTTTATTACCAAGCCACTAGAGCAGTCCTCCGTGCAGTCCCTGGCTAGCAGGGCTGATTTTTAGGTTAATTCTTAGGTCCTACCACCACTCGGGAATCTCTAAGCTGTCTGTGCCATCAGGATCGCTGCCAGACCATGGTTCCGTATGTCTCCTTTTTGGTATTTTCACGCAAATTCTTCTGCTAGTTGGGGTTTGTTGTTGTTGTTGTTATATGCCGTTGAGTCAGACCCGACTCATAGCGACCCTTCCTTGGGTTTCCAAGGCAGTTTCACTACGGAAGTAGATTGCCCCATCTCCCTTCCAAGGAGTGGCTGGTGGGTTTGAACCGCCAGCCTTCTGGTTAGCAGTCAAGTGCCTTAGCCACTATGCTACCAGAGCTCCCAGTTGGGGTTTAGTCCACTTCTATATCTTTTCCTTCAAGGCTCAGGGGTCCAGGATTATCTTCTGTGTCTGTGTTAATTGGTTTCCCTTTTCTTTGTTGAAGAGGGTTTGTGCAGTCTTTCTGCGTAGTCTGCCATCTTACCGAAACCACCTTCCATCATCTTAATGCTTCCTGCGTTGTCTAGTATCTTGCCTACAGAATTCTTCAATATTGCAACTTGAAGCTTGAGTTTTATCTTAGTTCTTTCAGCTTGAGAAATGCTAAGTGTGTTCTTCCTTTTTGGTTTTCTCACTTCAGGTGTTTGCACATTTCATTATAAATACTTCACTTTGTGTTCTTGAGCTGCCTTTTAAAATCTTCTTTTCAGCTCTCTTACTTCATTTCTTCCATTTGCTTTAGCTACTCTCTATTCAAGAGCAAGTTTCAGAATCTCTTTTGACATCCATTTGGTCTTGTGTTTCTTTCTTGTCTTTTTAATGACCTTTTGCTTTCTTCATGTATGATGTCCTTGATGTCATCCCACAACTTGTCTGGTCTTCAGTCATTATTGTTAAATTTGTCAAATCTATTATTGAAATGGTCTCTAAATTCAAGTGGGATATATTCAAGGTTGTACTGTGGCTCTGGTGGACTTGTTTTAATTTTCAGCTTGAACTTGCATATGAGCAATTGATGGTCTGTCCTACAGTAGGCCCCTGGCCTTGTTCTGAATGATACTGAGCTTCTCCATTGTCTCCTTCCTCAGATGTAGTTGATTTGATTTCTGTGTATTCTACCTGGTGAGGTCCATATGTGTAGTCACCTATTATGTTGTTGAAAAGGTATTTGGAATGAATATGTAGCTGATCTTGCAAAAATATACCATGTAGTCTCATCATTTCTGTCACCAAAGCCACATTTTCGAGGTACCAGTCCTTTTTCTTTGTTTCCAGTTTTTACATTCCAGTTACCAGTAATCATCACTACATCTTGATTGCATGTTTGGTCAATGTCAGATGGCAGAATTTGGTAAAAATCTTCTGTTTCTTCATCTTTGGCATTAGTCAGTTTGTTGTGCCATGGTGGCTTTCATGTTGATGTGATGCTTGAAGTAAATACCAGCAGGGTCACTCATGGTGGACAGATTTCAGTGGAGCTTCAAGACTAAGAGTAGAAAAGAGGACCTGGCAGTCTACTTCTGAAATAACTACTCAGTGAAAATCTTACTAAAAGCTGTGAAACATTGTCTGATATAGTGCCAGAAAATGAGCCCCTCAGGTTGAAAGGCACTAAAAACACAACTGGGGAAAAGCTGCTTTCTGAGTAGAGTTGACCTGAATGACATGGATAGAGTAAAGCTTTCAGAATTGTCTTTTGCTGATGTGACATGACTCAAAATGAGGAGGAACAGTTGCAAATATCTGCTAATAATGTGGAATGTACAAAGTAGGAATCTAGGAAAATTCAGTCTTTAAAAATGAAATGGAATATATAAAGATCAACACCCTAGACATTTAGTGAGCTGAAATGTACTGATAATGGCCATTTTGAATCTGGTCTACTATGCTGGAACTGAAAAATTGAAGAATGCTGTCACATTCATTGTCAAAAAGAACATTTCAAGAATTAACCTGAAAAATTCTGCTTCAGAAGTGAAAATTGTAATTTATGTTTAATTGTCATTTGGAAAATAAGATCATGCATTAATAAATATTTCACAAATTTTTAATAAGATTGTTGCTTACCCTTCTTGCAAGTAATATAGAGAAGAGATACTGAATACATATAATATGTTGTTGTTATGTGCCGTCGAGTTGGACCCGACTCGTAGTGACCCCTCCTTGGGTTTCCGAGGCAGTATCACTACGGAAGTAGATTGCCCCATCTTCCTTCTGAGGAGTGGCTGGTGGGTTTGAAACGCCAGCCTTCTGCTTAGCAGTCAAGTGCCTTAGGCACCATAGAACTGTTTAAATGAAGTCTTCAACACTTGACTCTTTATTTTCGTTTTCAATTTATTGTAAAGTGTGGTTTCACTGTTTTCACATGTCCTTGATAATACTACCAGACAGGATCCATTTCATATTACTTACTTACTTAACAGCAAGCTAAATTGACCATATCAGAATAGAGCATTATGGATTTCCAGCTAATTTTTAATTTATATGTATGTGGCTTTCAAATAATTGACTTTTGTTCTTAAGGTTGGTTTTGTTTTTAGCTCATCATGGTTATAAACAGGATAGAAAGTGTACAAATATTTAGAAGATAAGTGTTATGGATTGAATTTTGTCCCCCTACAATATGTGTGTCAAATTGACTAGGCCATGATTTTCAGTGGTTTGGCAGTTAGGCAATGATGTAATTATTCTGTGTTTTAAATCCTATAAGGCAGCATTAGGGTGGTGTGGTAGTTAAGGTTATGTGTCAGCCTGGCTGGGCCTGGTTTTGAGTGGTTAGGCAGCTGGCTGTAGTTCTTCCCCATGGTGAGATTGGTAATTAACCCCATATTGGAATCTACTGGAGCAGCTGAGTAGCTGCTTTAGGGATGTGGTCCGCTTCCAGGATATAAGCAGCAGCTTTGAGGAAGGTCTGCAGATTTTGGCATGTTTGAATCCTGCATGTATCTGAGTCATCATTTAACAGCCTGCCATGTTGTCTGCCGATCTTGGGACTCTTAATGGACTTGAATCAATGGTCTGCTGTATAGTTTGGTAATATCAGGACTGTGCCTTTTTACTTGTTGACCTTGGGTTTGTTAGCCTCACCAACCAGCAGCTGCCTGAGTGAAGAGAAAGCCTCCAGCTCTATTGGGCCAGGAGTAAGAGAAGAAGCCCAAGGTCAAAGGGCTTTCACCCAGCCCCTAGAGCTTGGCAGGGAGTTCTGGTGGCGTAGTGCTTAAGACATTTGACTGCTAACCAGAAGGCTGGCACTTTGAACTCAGATTTCTAGCCTCTAAAACTGTAAGAGAATAAACTCCTGTCTGTTAAAGCCATCCCATCTGGGGTATATTCATGTCAGAGCGGCACTAGGTAACCAAAACAAGTGGGGTGTATCTTGAATGTAGCCCTGATGGCTTTGTGGTTAAAGTGTTCAGCTGCTAACGAAAAGGTGGTGATTTGAGGCCACCAGCTGGAAATCTTATGGGGCATTTGTCCTGTAAGGTTGCTATGAGTTGGAATCGACTTGATGGCAATGTGTTTGATTTTTTTGATGGTTAAATCTTGAATCTCACCCCTTAAGGACCACCTTACTTAAGTCACCATGCTTTACTGACACAGTGAAGTCATGCTCTTGTTTGAGTCCTGCCTTTTATCTTACAAGAGGTAAAAGGAGAGGGAAAGAACAGAAAGGGACCTGACTACCACCAAGAAAGAAGATCCAGGAACAGAGGATCTTTTGGACCTGGGGTCCCTACATGAGAACCTCCTAGATGCAGGAGAAGATTGATGCCAGGACACACGGAGGTCTTCAAGGAATGCTGGGCCCACAGATGTTGAAAGACGAGAACCTTCCACTAGAGCAGAAAGAGGGAGCTTTTCCCTAGGGCTGAAGCCACCTAAACTGTGATAATAAATGTCTGTCTATTAAAGCCATCTACTCGTGGTGTTTCTGTTATAGCAACACTAGATAACTAAGGGAAAAAATAACCTTTTGCACAAAAGAGAATGAAATGAAGCTGTAAGAGTATTAGGCCTGCTGGTACCATGTTACATAACATATGGTAGAGAATTTCTGAATTAGAACAGACATAAAAATGGAATTTAAAGTGTTTTAAATGGACTCCCTCCAGCTGAAATAATTATGCTTTATTTTTGACCTCTAAATTTTAGTGAAAATGTGGGAGAAGACTTTCATGCTAAAATTGTGAGATAAAAAATACCTACCTAGAGATGTTCCAATTAGTTTGATGTTACAGTCATGCGTTAGTCATTGCAATCATTTTTTCAGTTGTACATTGGGAAAATTCTGAGATTTTTTATAAAACCAAACCCTAAACATAATAAAATGCCATCACGTTTTTCAAGATGGAAGCTTGGTATTGCTATGCTTCCCTTAAGGTCTTCTCATTTAACGTTTTCATTCAGTTATATATAAGGAGCCCTGGTGGTGCAATGGTTTCAGGGCTTGGCAACTAAACCAAAGGTAGTCGTTAGAACCCACCAGCAGCTCTGTGGGAGTCTGCTTCCATAAGGATTTTGGAAGCCCTGTGGGGCAGTGTTATCTTTATGGGGTCTCTGAATTGGGATAGACTTTTTGGGTGGGTGGGAACGAGGGCGAACTTACGTATTTCTGACAAGTACAAGTAAAATTCCCTTTTAGGACTTATTTCAAGGATATTTTGGAAGAATCTTACTTGAATGGTATTTCGGTCTGTAATAATATCCATGTTAGGAATGGAGTATGATGTGCATTTTACTATGCATTTTCAGTAGCTACATCTCATCGCAAGCCTTGAAGCACATCAAGCAGTTGTTCTCATTTTACAAGTGTAGTTAGTAACGAAGGCTCTGGGAGGTTAGTTTCCCAAAACGCAGCTGATGAGTTAACTGGCATAGATCCCTATGCCAGCCAGGTACAGGTAGGAAGCCATGACGTCACGGGTGCTGCCAGGCAGTGGCTCAGCATTCTCTGGATGTGGGCAGGGCCGGAAGCGGCCCCGCAGAAGGCCCCGCCTTCGCCTCGTCCCCTCCCCGCCTCGCCAGCCGGCGCCAGTAGAGCCTCTCAGGCCTCGGTGTGCGAGCGACTAGGCTGCGGAGCGAGGCTTGCGAGGCGCTCGCCGGCCACGCCCTCAGGCCCGCCGGCCCCCTCGCCTGTGGCGTGGCTGGGTGCGGTGCGAGACGGCGCTGCCGGTGAGTGCCATTTCCCAACAGCGGGGCTAGGTCAGTGACTGGGCGGGAAGGCGGAGGATGGATGTAGGTTTATCGGCCATTACGCTCTATCTCGCCAGCTCCAGCAGCTCTGGGCCGGCAGCCACCATGGAGCAGGAGCCGGTGAGTGGTATCGAAGGAGAAGCAGACGCAACCTCTGGAGCTGCGGTCGCCGCGGCGCTGAGCAACACAGCGCGGCAGGTGGGTGGGGCCGCCGAGGGAGGCGGTGGCGCCTGACCGGGGTCTTCCGATCCTCTTTACGGCCTTGTCCGTGGGCTTGTCTTTGGCCTGCTTGGCCTTCCTGGGAGCAGGCCACCGCTGGAGGTTCGTTTCTGGGTTCCTCCTTACAGTATCCCCGCATTCTCTCAGACAAACAGACGCGGAGCGGAAGCCTCCCTCCACTTCGGGAGTCCGGCAGCAGCCCCTTCGGTGGCAGCGCTGGAGACTCTGCGACGGCCTTGGGTTTCAGGAGGTGGTAGTCCAGTTCGGGTCTGCGGGCGAAAGGAGGAGGGCGCGTCCTGGAAGGGCTGCTCTTAGAGTAGCTAGAAGCCAGGTGACCGCGGCTTCAGTCACTTCTCAGACTCTCCTTGTGCAAATGCCTACCTTGGCATTTGCCCTTTGGTTAGCTAATAGCTATTAAGCGCTAAGTCTTTACAGGCCTTATTTCACTTCATATACATAAACCCCTTGAGGTGACTAGTGGTATCCTCATTTCTCCAACGAGGTAGTAAGACTTAGAGCTGCGCTGTCCAATAGAAATACAATGCGAGCCGCATATGTAATTTCCTATTAACCACAGTAAAAATTTTTAAAGGTGAAATTAATTTTGGTATTATATTTTAAACCCAATATATAATAATATTTCAGCATGTAATTAATACAAAAATTATTAATGAGCTATTTTACTTTTTTTTTTTATACTAAGTCTTTGAAATCCTGTGTGTCTTTTACAGTAAGTTAAAGCTCGTCTCAGTTTGGACTAGCCACATTTAGCTAGTGGTTTCTGTATTGGACAGTGCGGCAGGTGTTGTGAGTTAGGTTAAGTTTAGAGGTTTTTGTCTTGTTTGGGATTTGGTAGTCTAAATTTGTAGTTAAGGATCTCTACTCAAGTAAACTAGTTAGTTAGAAGTTAGTTAGTTAGTTAGAAGTGCGTTAGTTTAAACCAGTTCAAGAGTATATAATTTTGGCAGTTGAAAACCTCAAGCTACTCCCATGTAGACATCTTCCCATCCTTGATAGGAAGGAAGGTCCGTTTTGGAGACTTAAGTACCTGAATGTTATTAAGACATTTCCTCAGAACTACAAGGCTCCTACAGAATTATTCCTGTCTAGTTTCCTAGTGCTGCAATAGCATAAATACCCTAAATGGGTAACTTTACAGAACAGAAAATTATTTTCTTAAAGTTCTGGATGCTAAAAGTCCAAATCAAGCTCTCTGCCTTGTGGTAGCCCCTCAGGGTTCTTTGGCTTGTAGATGATCCTGTCTTCTCCGTGTGTGTGTGTGTGTGTGTGTGTGTGTGTGTGTCTTCTGCTCCTTTTATAATGGAAATGATTAGGTTTAGGATCTACCCTGTACTACTGTGCAACACAACCCACTGCTATCAAGTAGGATCTGACTCATAGTGACCCCTCCTTGGGTTTCCAATGCAGTATATCACTAGGAAAGTAGATTACCCAACCTTCCTTCTGAGGAGTGGCTGGTGGGTTTCAAAGACCAGCTTTCTGGTTAGCAGTCAAATGCCTTAGGCACTATGCTACCAGAGCTCCCCCCTATACTGGTAGGACCTCATTAACCTTACCAAAGAAAACCTTGTTTCTAAACAGGATCATGTCCAAAAGTAAGACAGACAGGAATTCTTACACATATATATATATATTTTTTAGTTGTGATTTGGGTGAAAGTTTACAGAGCAAATTCACTTTCCATACAGCAGTTCACATACACTTTGTCTCATGACAGTGACCACAATTCACCACAATGTAACAGCATCCCTCCCACTTCCTCCCCATAGTTACCTCTTCCCTGTGTCTATCCCTCCATGCACTCCTGCCCCCTGAGTTGCCTTCCTGTGCACAAACAGCCCTTCTTTCTCCCATGATTGTTCTCTCCAAGAAGTATATCTACCTCAGGTAAATGTTCAACTCCTTTGCCTGTCTTTTGTTTGGCTGGAAGCCACAGGTGTGGGTTCAATTCCAGATCTGAAGGGCAGCTAGGGGCCATAGTCTCAGTGGTTCCACCAGGCTCTATCAGACCAGCAAACCTGGTCCCCTTCTTTTTTTTTTTTTTCCTCCCCCAGATGATTTTGAGTTTTGTTCTACATTGTTCTCCCTCTCTATCCAGGATCTCCTACAGAGATCCTCCTCCAAGTGGTTGATAGCTTATACACACTTTTTTTTTAAAATTGTGATTTGGGTGAAAGTTTACAGAGCACATTCACTTTCCATACAGCAGCTCACATACACTTTGTCTCTTGACATTGACTACAATTTACCCTAGTGCGACAGCTCCCCTTCCACCTCCTCTTGATAGTTACCTCTTCCCTGTGTCCATCCCCTCCATGCACTCCTGCCCCTCAGCTGTCTTCCTGTGCACAAACAGCACCTTTTTCTTCCATGATTGTTCTCTCCAAGGAGTGTATCTACCTCAGGTAAATGTTCAGCTCATATGCCTGTCTTTTGTTTGGCTGGAAGCCACAGGTGTGGGTTGAGTTCCAGACCTGAAGGGCAGCTAGGGGCCATAGGCTCGGTGGTTCCACCAGGCTCAATCAGACCAGCAAACCTGGTCCCCCCCCCCCTTTTTTATTTCCCAAATGATTTTGAGTTTTGTTCCATGTTGTACTCCCTCTCTATCCTGACACCTGGACTGAGAAGCAACATGATAAATGCAGAAAAGATTGAAATTTTCAAGGATTTCATTTTACTTGGATTCATAATCAATGCTCATGGAAACAGCAGTCAAGAAATCAAATGACATATTGCATTGGGCTCAATTACTGCAAAAGATCTCTTGAAAGTGTTAAAAAAATAAAGATATTGCTTTGAAGACTAAGGTATGCCTGGTATTATCAAGGTATTATCAGTATAATTAATCACCTCATATGCATTCAAAAATTGGACAGTGAATAAAGATCAAAGAAGAATTCATACATTTGAATTATGGTGCTGTTGAAGAATATTGACTGTACTATGGACTGCCAGAAGAATGAACAAATCTGTCTTGAAAGAAATACAGCCAGAGTACTCCTTAGAAGAGAGTATGGTAAGACTTTGTCTCACATACTCTGGACATATTATCAGAAGGTACCAGTCCATGGAGAAGGACATCGGGCTTGGTAGAGGGTTAGCAAAAAAGAGGAATACTCTCAATGATGTAATTGACACAGTGACTGCAGCAGTGAGCTTAAACATAGCAATGATTGTGAGGATGGCATAGGACTAGGCACTGTTTCATTTTGTTATACATAGGGTCACTATGGGTCTACCAACTTCATACCACCTAACAGTAACAACATACTATAAGATAAAAACCCAAACCAAACCCACTGCAATCAAGTCAATTCCAACTCATAGTGACCCTAAAGGACAGAGTAGAACTTGCCCCGTAAGGTTCACAAGGCTGTAAATCTTCAGGAAGTAAACTACCTCATCTTTCTCCTGTAGAGCTGCTGGTGGGTTTGAACCACTGACCTTTCATTTATCACTTGAGTGTTTTATCCACTAACCACTGCCATTGGGTCCATTCCAACTCACAGCAACTTGACATTGGGTTTTCAAGGCTGTAAATCTTTATGGAAGTAGATTGCCTCAGCTTCCTCCCACAGAACAGCTAGTAGGTTTGAACCACCGAACTGAACTTCCGGTTAGCAGCCCGATGTGTTATCTACTATGCCTTCAGAGCTCCTTTTTAAATAAAAAAGAAAATTGCCATTGAAAACAGACCTGAGAACAAGATAAGTAGATTTACTGTCTGGTTAAACATAAAATGTAGTAAAATGTTAACTAATATTGCAGTGCATAATTTCCTGGTGTTATGAAACTATCTTTTAAAATCTTTGAAGTTTTTTCAAATGGAATATATGGAATTTATAGTGAATATTTTCTTTTTCTTAGGTTTATTGTTTGTGAGAATGGATCTTTGCAAAAATCAGAAAATAACTTTTTTTAAAAAAACTGTTGTCAGAAATTATGTTGTGACAAATTGTTTTCAGATTGGTATTACTCATCAGTGCCTCCCTTCACTGCCTTTTTTTTTCCTTCCAAGTGGAAGTCATAATCATATATTATAGCTGTCTTTCACAGATTTTCACTTGCCAGTCTGGTTCCTTAACATCAGGGTTGATACACTACGGTCTGTTAGCTGGCTACCTTTTTAGTAGATAAAGTTTTAATTAGCACACACCCACATCCATTCATTTACTTATTGTCCATGGCTGCTTTCTCAGAGTTTCAAGCTTATGACAGGCAATATGGCCCACACATAGTTAGAGTTAATGGAGATAGTAAAATAATTTTCTATGAGCCCTTATGACTAAACCAGAAAGTTTTTTATTTATTATCTAAAGAAAATAACTCAGTTGAGCCAATGAGAGACCCCCCCTTTTTTTTTTTTTTTTTTTTTTGCCTATATGTTAGAAGGAAATATTAAGCCAGTGAGTGATTGCCCTAGAAGGAACAGTGGGAAACTGCTTTCACTCTAATAGGAGATGGCACATGGTAATGTACAATAAATGGTCTCAGTCCTATTCATACACCAGACTGTTTCTTTGGCATTAGATTTATCTAGTTAGTGTGATGTCTTGAGGCCTAAAGCCAAGCCCTGGTCCAAAAGAAATGTTGGTGTCAGAGTAATCATAAACCCTGTCATTCTCAAGGGGAAACATGAGATTGGGTAGGAGTAGCTTCTGGTCTCTGGGGACCAAAGGTAGAAGAAAGGTGACCTGAGTGATCTGGTACTATTTATTGTCCATTTTGTTCAAGAACACAATAAAGGGGCTGTTCTTCTCATACTAAGAACTAGGGT